TGTTCATATGTCAGCTTTGGCGATGCTGGGGTGTGATGTGGTTTCAACTGACCAAAAGGAGGTTTTACCGCTGCTAAAGAGGAATGTAGAATGGAATACGTCCAGAATCTTGCAGATGAATCCTGGTTCAGGTTTGTGTCGATACAGTCTTCTCTAAGTAACTATCTCGCTTCTTTTACTGTTTGATTCTGTGGTATCTACAGCTTTCTTCATTGTTATGCCAAGGAGAAGTTTGTCAGAATGGCTCGTTATTCAAAGCCTTCCTTAATTAATAGACAATATCGGATGGTTCAGTTAGTCTCTAATGGAGTTGGCATTCCTTGTAGCATCATTTGGATCGCTCCGAGTTGCAGAACTGGACTGGGGAAATGAAGATCATATAAGAGCCGTTGAGCCGCCATTTGACTATGTCATTGGTACTGATGTTGTAAGTTCAACCAGAATCGTCGAATGATTCACTATAATTGTGTAGTTTAGTAAGACTGGTTCAGCACAAAGGAGGGACTGACCTCACCTTATTTTGGTTGAAGGTATATTCTGAGCAGCTCCTGGAACCTTTATTGTGTACGATACTTGCGCTATCAGGGCCAAAGACAACAGTTATGGTATGAAGAAAGATACTTGGGATTTGCTTAATATCATCATTGGAACTACATGATTTGTTGTTGTTGTGTTTTAGTTGGGATATGAGATACGTTCTACTAGTGTTCATGATAAAATGCTTCAGATGTGGAAAGACAACTTCGAAGTCAAAATCATACCGAGATCCAAGGTAAATAACAACATTGATGGCAAAGTCACTGTTAAAATTTCGTGAACTACGCAACCGCTTATTCTGGAATGAAATCTGCAGATGGATGGTGAATACCAAGACCCGAGCATTCACCTGTACATCATGGCACAGAAATCTTCTTCTGAGAGCTCTGGAAATGTGAGCCGAGATGAAGTTGTTGGGACTGACACAGACGAAATAAAGTGTGAGACGAAAGTCCCAACAGGAGAATGCCATGATTTACCAAACCGGTTGGAAGAGGAAGCCGTTGCAGCACATCGTCCTCGTCTTAAGGAAGATAGTTTGTTGATGAGACTACGCGATGGAAAGCTAAGTGAATGGGAGATGAGAAGGTATGGTACAGTTGCTGCACAGCTACTCCGTGACGTGAAGATAGATGTTCAGGTGCGTGCACATATATAGACCATTTTTGGATATGAAATCAGTCTGTTACTTGCATAAAGGTGAAATCAATATTTGGTACTTATTTGTTGATTTTGTTTGTAGGTGAAAAAATGACTTTGCATTGACCTTCAGAGCCTTGTCCCCAAGATCTCGCCATTTTGTGTTTTTTTACTTCTGGAAATTGTTATACAATGAATAAATTCTCTAGACTTATTTCTTTCAATGATCTAGCTGTTTGTGCTTCTGAGTCTGAGCTGTGCGCTTCATGGATCGAGGTTAATTCCTCAAAAATTGCAGAAATGTACTGAATTTGAAGACCATAGTATAATGGTTAGTATGGTAAGTTGATTCTTGTACCAAACAACTATCAAATATATCAAGAACCATACCACATTCGAACAGTAGTCGTGACATCAAACTGGTTCTCATTGATAATGACGTCCATGTTATTTGAACAATGATAACGACGTATTTAACTTCGCTCATCATAGGTATCAAGAGACAGACCACATTGATAACGAAGTCTATGCTGTTTCGATTATTCATTGGCGCAGAAAACATCCTCAATTGTGAATGGAAACTCAGGTGGAATGCGGATAAGGACACATAGCGCAATTGTCACTACCTCAAGATGCGTTTACGGTTGTTGTCCCAATAGTCTTGAGGTCAAAGATCTCGATCCAGTAGCCATCAGGATCCTTGATGAAGGCTATATTCTTCATCTTTCCTGCGATGTTGAAAAAAGGATTAAAACCAGACTTCCCAAACAGAGAGTGGCAAGAAGAATTTTTCAAATGTTCACTGGATTCAGCTGGTAATAGTAAAATACCATCATTCGGTTTCTTGACAAACTCAACTCCCAATTGTTCAAATCTCTCGCATGCCTTGTGTACATCATCAACCGTAACCCCAATGTGTCCTTTAACAAAAACAGCGAAAGAGTCTACATTTGCAATATAACCCAATATATGGGTCTTCTCTTGTAGCAATTGCCATAACTCAAGCCTCAATTCTTTGGCTTATTAACTGGTTCATAATGATATACATCCTAGCCACTAAAATTTAAAAAATAACCTATTGAAACTATTCAATTACTTCTGAATATAGAGAGAGAAGGAAGAGACTTTACCAAATCCACGAGGCTCGGAGTTCCCATTATGATAGCCTTTAAACTCGGGATCACTCTCTGTGCCCCAGTTGCTGAAAGAGGCATTCATTCGCAAGGAACGTTCAGTGCAAGAAAAGAGAGGGAGAGAAAGTAAGACATTAATATTTGTTTCTTACTGAGTCAATTCAATTGTTGCTGGTCGACCAAAGGTCCAAACCGTTCTTTCAGTTGGATCCGCTGGAGCTGTTGAAGTATCCTGCACCATAATAAACAAATCAAACCCAGCTTCGTTGTTACTCTCAACTAAAACCAGCAAGGAATAATCACACAAGAGAAACATCTATATTCATCTAACTGATACTTTTACAACAATTTCCGGATAAGAAAGTTAATGCATCAATAAACTGCATAATTTTAAAGTGTTCTAATTTTGATGTGCTGAAGCTCAACGCATGAGTTCCTGGATCATAAGTTACATGCTTTGATTATTATATTATGCAAATAGCATGGATAGTTCCATACTTTTTTAGTAAGATCCCCTCTAGCTTAGTGAAGAGTTAAACTAAGAAAGGGTCACAGAACAAAATTCTACCTCGTAGCCTAGAAAGTACAAGCTAAATTTCATCTCAGAGAAATCCAGCCTCTTCAGCAATCTGGGAAAAAAAAAAAGTAAAATAAAGAACTTGTAGAGTCCATAAGCCTTAAGAACAAAAGAATGAATCCCTTGCTTCCCTGGGGACTGAAGGTCGATGGCACAAAAGAATGCATATACATTTCTAACTTACAAGAGAGTGTTGAAAAAACTTACGACATTCCCAACACACGTGAGTAAAAGTCAAGACTAGCTTTAGGGTCCTTGATCCGAAACATCTGAGAGTTACAAAAAGATGGAAAAAATGGAACAATATCATTTGTTGAAACAGAAAAAAAATCACTATCTAAACAAAGAAGAAACAATAACACCTAATCAGAGAGGAACAATACTAATAAAGTTCAAGAAAAGGGAAGGGACTACTGGATTTCGAATCTTTTAGTGTTACTGGGTACATTCAGTGGAACGACAAATTCCTTACCACAACAAAGACTTAACTCTATAACTTGGGTCTAATCTCTGCTTCTGCAAAATTCCTTGTCATTTCTAAAAACTTAGATTTCATTTCAAATGGAAGCTACTAAGAAGATTATCATAGTTTCATTCATAACTACCAAATTGAACATAGTATGCTAAGATCAAGAACACAATGTCAAGCCTTAGAGAAGATTCAAACCACACTATTTAAGAAATCTCAGTAAAACATTCAACTTTAGATTTCAATACAGAAATTACGGATCATGATCAACTGAATCGCAAAATCGAAATCTTACAGTCTGCTGCATGATATACCCTTTCGTAGCTTCATCCCTAGTCGTTGAAAGTCCAGGATTGTTTGCTGGTGATTCCTTCGCTTCCGACGCCATTGAGAACACACGAAACTGATCAAATCTCTACAAAAAAAAAAAATCGAAACAGACCCAGATGATTAAAACAACACACAAACAGTCGAATAAACTTATTCCACTAAATGGGTTTTCCAAAAAGCATAAACCTTTAGCCTCCTGGTTCTGTTGCAAGGGCTAATGATGAAAGAAAAATCGGTGGAACAAGGTTTAACGAATCGGATTATAGGCGAAATTCGAGTTATAGCACTTGCTATAGTTGAGTACGAACCCATTACGTTTCTTGGATTTGACACAAGGAAAGAAGAAAACAAAAGGAAAAAGGTAAGTTTTTTTACCGATGTAAGGCTTATACGACGAACTGACCGAAAGCAGTGGCTCTTCACCGGATAGTGGAAGAGTTTCGGTCTATAGCTCAAATGCGTTTTTTTTGTCCGTCCAGAGAGACTATTGGGATTAGTTGCAAACGACGTCGTTGGCATGTTCATCATCAATCATTTTTTTGGTTATCGACTTTAAAGCTTTATCAAATAAAAGCCCAAAAAGGTGTAGTCACTC